GACCCTCGCCCCCCCCCCCCCCCCCCCCCCAGCTAGACGGCCCCGCGCCCCCCAGCTAAAAGGCCCCGCGGCCCCCAGCTACATGGCTCCGCGCCCCCCAGCTAGAAGGCCCCGCGGCCCCCAGCTAGAAGCCCCCCCCACCCCCCCCCCAGCTAGACGGCCTCGGGCAGTCGGGGGGAATGGGTTTGCCTCCAGGACAGATACGAGAAGGCTCACGGTTCCTCTTTCGAGAAGGCCGCGCATCATGCACTATCGCAGCGTCACCGTCATGGAGCTCCGAAGGGAGGAGAACAGTTGCGGGTGATGAAGGGGAAGATCAACCTGCCTCACAAATGCTTACCAATGGGTGAAATCGATGTTGAGGGAGTTCACCTTTTTCTCCAGGGCCTCAAAGAACAGTTCGCGTTTTGATCGTGCACCGGTCTCGACGTCTCTGTTGCTGCAGCTTCATGACGCGTCTCATTACCGTCCGTTGAAGGGGCTTTCTGATCATTGGTTCGGCGTGAAAGAATCCATGAAAGTCAACCTTCACCTGCGCATGGGGCCGGGTATCTGGAGGTGCAAGGCACCGGAGATTGGCAAACCGGTGGTGGCGAAAGCTGTCGCTGCTGTCCGGGAGAAGCATGACACGGAGGGGTCGGGGGATTTCAGTCTTCTAATGCGGATGATGAATCTGGTACTGCGGAGGTACACAACGGAGGAAAGGAAGGGTCAAGGCGACCCTTCATCATTTGGAAACGGCGGTTGCGGTGATGCGCGATCCGAGCTGTCCCATCTAAAAACGATGCACTGCTAGTGAAGGAGTCCCAGCTCGCTGCTTACCTCTCCTCCGAACAGAAAGAAGGGCTCATGTCCGGTGTGTGTGAGCTGAAGGAGGGGGAGATGCCGGGGAAGCTACTCTTGACAAAGGTGAAAACACGGAAGGAGAGGACAATTATTACGGCATTGCAGTGGAAGGGGGTCACACGCAAAGACACGAAAGGGGTATTGGAGGCAGCCTCGAAGTTTTACGCGGAGCTCTTCTCAAAGTCGGCTCCAGCGGTGGACCATTCACTTTGTCCTATCACTCCAGACAAGAGATTGGGGGAATAAGAGTCCCAGGTGCTGAATGCTGAGTGGTCCGAAGCAGAGGTCAGGCAAGCCTTCAAGGACATGGCGGTAGGGAAATCCCCGGGGGCTGACGGGATCCCGAAGGAATTCTTCAGCTACCATTGAGACCTGCTGGGGGGTGACCTTCTCAGTTTCGTGAAGAGCTTTGAGGGGACGGCAGTTCTCCTGGCTTTCGGCGCTGGAAGCAGTCACCGTCCTACTGCACAAGAAGGGCGCGAAGGATCAGATACAAAATTACCGGCCTACTACGCTACTCAACAGCACATGCAAGTTGGTGGCCCGTATCTTGGCAAACAGGATGAGGAAAGTGCTGCACAAGGCCATCTCAGGGGAGCAGTATGGTTTCTTACTGGGGAGGAGAGTCTCAGAAGTGGTCTCGCTGGTGGCAGATGTCGTCGATGCTGCAAAAAACAAGGACGCGGACGGGTATCTCCTGCTAGTAACCTTCCATAAGGCGTTTGATTCCATCTCGCGGGGATACCTGTTCGGCACAATGGAGCGGATGGATTCTCGCGGAGATTCATGGGCTGGTGCTGGGGCCTTCACGAGGGCTCGGCAGCAAGGTTGCTGCTCAACGGCTGACTGGGGGAGCGTGCGGAAGTGCGGAAAGGCGTACGGCAAGGCTGTCCGTTGGCACCTTACATGTTCCTTTGCACTGGAGCTTATCTGCCAGGAGGCAAAGAGAAGAATGATGGGGATCAGTAATCCGTGCGGCGAGAGACTCCATGTGAACAAGGAGAAGTCCGCGCTTCTCTCGCTGGGCAAGAACCTGCGGCGAAAACCAGACAATAGGTATGCTTTCAAATGGGTACTTCCAAATAAAGCAAAAAGGCTCCTGGGAGGGTGGATCTCACCTTCAGGGGATGCAGCAGTCACCTAGTGCGGGCGACTGCGGAGTTTATGAAATACCAAGTTCTCTTCCTGACCACCACGGTGAGGGTTGCTGTCGTCAACGATTATGTTAACCCGGTCCTCGCCTTACAAGGGCAGGTGTATCCCCCGCTGCCGGTAATATGGGCAAAGATTGTGAAGCTGCTGCACAACTTTGTCACCGGTAACCACGCGACGAGGGGGAAGCATTTCGCCCTCTGGAGTCAGGAGCTGATGTTTAAGCCAAGGAGTGAGGGGGGACTCGGATTTCGGGAACTCTTTGCAGAGCTGGGGGCCCTGGCAGCTAGAAGGATCGTGCTGCTGGCGTCGCAGCCGCTTGGGCTGCATGCGGACCTGGCAGCAGCGATACTGGACATGCCGGATCTTCAGATATTCTGGGCGCATGTGGGGTTGATGAAGCAGTGGAGTGGAAGGAGCATGAGATGGAAGCGCACTTGTGAGCTCTTCTTGGAGTCGAACTTCCCCGCAAGCATCACTGCAACCTTGTGCTGGGAAGTGAAGCAAGAACTTCTCCTTTTCAATCGCCGATTGTTGCCGAATGGGAGGACACCAGCAAGGACGCAGGAAGCGGCAAATCATCTTAAGAGATCGACCACAAGGGATTTAATCGTTGTGGCGGAAGACGGGTCCAGAACGTTGCAAGATTCGAAAGCTTTGGAAAGAGAGTTTGGTGGTGCGGCGGGGGCGCGGCTGGCCAAGAAGATTTTTGAAGCGGCCCCGGACGAATGGAAGCAGTTGCTTCTCGCGCCGGTCACGTTGCGCACGGTGTTGGCGGCGTCGAAATACGTGCTGAAGGCAGGAACGAGCCATGGCGTCTGGAGGATCGAGAACGTGGAAGGGGAAACCCTAGTCTGCCAAGCAATCAGCTGTTTTCGGGGGGGGCTGGAGGGCGCTGAGGAGAAGCTCCGCACGTTTCAGCCACATGAGGTGGTGACGGCGGTGGTCAAGGGAGACCGGTTTTTTGGCCCCGCCGGGGGCGTGAGATGGCCCGGCGCAACTCAAACAGCTCAAAGGGGGTTTCAAGAGGCATGGCGGCAAACTGAAGAAACATTCTGCTTGGGAGGATCTGCTGGGGCACCAGATTGGCTAGTAGAGGGTGATTGGGGTGCGGGACTTAGAGGTCCTCCCGAACCGAGCGCGGGATGTGATGCTTCGAATCCACAGCCGGAACCTCCAGGTGGGGGAGCGCCTGCATTTCCTGGGTGCTGGTGTTGCCTGCCCACACTGCGGGGAAAAAGAGACGCTAGAGCATGTGCTTTTCCACTGCCTGCGCATCCAGCGGTGGTTCGGGCGCTCCTGAAGGCTCAATCCACGGCGGAAATCGAGTTACTCGGTGACCTGCTTTTCCAGCGCGAGGGGATAGCTACGGGTTTCCCCGTGGCTTCACTCACATCTATCGCACTCCATCGCATCTGGGTGGAGAGGTGTGAAGCGGTTTTCGAGAGGAGCACGTTATGGGCAAGTTGGGTCATGCGGAGGATTGTGGCAGCTTTTCAGCTGCATATGTGAATCTTCAAGTGCGCCAAGGCAGCATCACGGAGGTTCGGAGCCACTCATCCCCGGTTGGATGACGACGAGCGCCGCACCCTGGACATAATTCTTGACAGCACAACAAAGCCGGCCACGTGGACTAAGGGTACATTCCGCTGTAGAATATGTCCCAATCGATGTGTCCCAATCGGTTGAGATGCGTACGTACAGCATATGCTGCCAGGTGTCGGAATGCCGTGCCGCCCGTGGTTGTCGCCGAATGTATTTATCATTGGGTGGCGTGATTCACGCAACAATCGCCAGCTAATTGCAACAAACCCCATCAATCGCACGCGGTGCCAAATGTCATCTCATGCAGCATGTATATGGACGACATTTTGCGTGACCCTCTATCCCCTGGAACGCGTACTCAGCGTTGTGATTGGTCGAGCAGACACAACCAGAATTGTTGACAGGGACAGGCACTCCCCCGCCAATTTGTGCTGCTGGAGTACAAGTGTGCCAGAATGGACTCTGACCAATCACGGTGGGTCGCATATAATTGTCGCGCATATGAGCAGAGTCGTAATACATCGATCGATTGGGACATGCAGAATCGAGAAATTTGAGCGCGACTCGGCAAAATAGTGATTGGGACACATCGATTGGGACACATTCCACAGCGGAATGTACCCTAAGGGCTTCATGTCCATCTGGTCGAACCCAAGGGCGGCTTTCCCTCCCCCTTAGCTTGCCGAGACCGAGATGGGTACGGAGGGTAGATGCCCCCTAGGCCCATCAGCTACAGCTACGAGTGCCAATGTATTGTGCACTTTATAGTGTATATTTAAAAAAAAAAAAAAAAAAAGTGTCGGATCGAAGATTTGAATGGGTACTTTTGCGACTTCTTTGTGGTTAGGCTCGACTTTGGTCAAGAAAACGTACAGTATAAGAGAAAAATGGTCACTCGTTTTTTTTTTTTTTTTTTTTTTTTTTTTTTTGGAAATTCCAACAGGTCTTGTATCCAGGAATAGACGGAATAACTCCCTTGCTCGTACGGGATCCGACAAGTAGAGTGTGTTGAAGGTGATGTAGGGTCAACTCAAAAGAAACAAGAAAATATCACTTTAGAAACTTAATGGTTACGGTGTTGGGCTTGGCAACAATACGTCACGAAGATCTTAAAAGCATATACAATAAAGCGTACAGTTAGTCAAGGTATTTCGGCAACAGATGTAATCACAGTTACTGGATGTGTCGGTCTGCAACAACAACGAGAAGGAGCAGCGGATGAATGATCACTAAAATGACTGGAACATTCAAATCCAAGGCCGCACAGTTAGAAGGACGCAGTTCAGCACGATGCGACGCGAATTCAGATCATACATAGGTAGGTGGGTTGCGCATGAAGGGAGATTATAGAAACATACCTCAAAACCACTTGCAGAGCTACGGAGGTGGAAGTTTAATGCCAAATTACCAGGTAAGCACTTGTGCCATGGCAGTGTGCATGCACATGCCTTGCAACCTCACCACGCAGTCGCACCTTTAATGGGTCCCGGGAGGAAGCGTGTGAAAGGGAGGTGTGGCGAGAGGAAGTGAGAGGCGGAGGCGCAGCAGTGCGGGGCGAGCTTGAGGGCGAAGTAGGCGAGGGCGAGCAGCACTATCATGGCTGCTATGTCGTTGGGCAGGTAGCCTGGGGGGGGAGGGAGGGAGAGACACAAGGAGGGGGGGGGATGGTTACAACGCCTGAAAGTGGGGGACGTAAGGGCGAGAGGCACAATGCGGCTGCGATGCTGCTTGGTAGGTGGCATGCGGAGGGAAGAAGGAAGCGATGAAGGCCAGTTGGGAGTAAGAGATGGATTGGTGGAGGGAGTGAGTGCAGTGCAGTGCATGATAATGTGTGAGACTGCCAGAGCAGTAATGGTTCCACTGCTGCATGGCAGCAACGAGCACGATGGCAGGCGGAGTAAGGCAGGTGTAGCAGAACAAAGGAGGTCTTGAGGAAAGCGTCACATTTGGCACAAACATTTGAGGCACATGCCTTGTTGGACACACGCCCTTTCAGGCTCAGGCCCCTCTCGGCACAAACCCCTTCAATTCCCCTGAGGGCGTCCTCACATCACTATGTGCAATCACATCTCCACGCCTGCCATCACATGGGCTTGGCCGCCCCCCACCCAACACGCCACACTCCACCGTGCAACAGTTATGCTGACTCTACATGCGGGTGTGCAAGTGATTGTGCATGTGCAGTGACAGCAAGGCAGCACTCACCGCGGGGCACGTGGCCGCCAGGGGGCGTCCTCACCATCTCCACCACCTCCACGCCCGCCAGCAGCGGCGGCCTCTTGGACCCGCGCATGGGGGAGAGCAGCAGGGCGAGGTCGGGGCCGTACTGCTGCGCGTAACGCGTGAAGTTGAAGCACAGCTGCACCACCACCGCGCGGTCGTGCGACCCGTTGGCCGCCACCAGGATGTCAAACCCCGTGCCGCTCCAGTCCCGGGCAAACAGCGGGTTGCTCGGGTCGAATACATCCTCCACCTCCTCCTCCTCCTCCTCCTGCTGCTGCTGCTGCTTCTGCTGCTGGCCCTCCCAGTGCCCCAGGACCTGCGGTCGCTTTGACCGCAGCAGCTGCTGGCGCTCCTGCTGCCACGGGCGGGGCTGCGGGCCGAAGAGGAAGTCATGGAGGCGGAAGTCGAGGAAGTTGCGGTACCAGTTGACGGGCGTGCCCACGCCACCACCCGTGTCGAACTCGCCACTCTCACTGATGCTCTTGACGGCGTCCAGCACCACGTTGCCATGCACCACCGGCTTCCGCCCGTCCAGCCCTGTGTGTGCTATGTGCTCCACTCCCACCCTCCTCCTCTTTATCTCCTCTGCTCTCTCGCCTTTCCTCCTCGATCGCCGTGAGGAGTGCTGCTTTGTCTCCTTCCTCTCACCACCCTCATTCCCCTTCATGCCCTTGCTTCCTCTAACTCCTTCCCACTCTCCCAAAAGCCTTCTCCTCCCACTACTTGCATCCTCCTCTCTCTCCTCATTTGTATCCATCACGTGCCCTCCCTTCCCTTCCTCCGCCCCTTCTCCATCATCTACCCCACCCGCCCTCCGTGCAATCACCTGCACACCACTCTCCCGCACATCACCACTCTCGCTGCCCATGTGAGAGCTCAGCCGTTGAAGCCTCTCTCCGCGCCCCTGCCATGTCACCGTGCCTCCACCCCCCTGCCAGGACTCCCGTCCCGCTTCCACCCTTGTCACTCTGAGCCCTTCCGTGGCGTCTCTGCTACTTGCTGCCTCGCCGTCTCCACCTGCTCTGCTTCCCTCATTCCTCAATCGCTCCTCATCCCTTACTCCCTCTCCGCCATTCACCACTCCCTCCTCGCTTGCACCTCCCTTCTCCCTTTCCCCCTTCCCCTTGCCTATCGTCTCCTTCCACTTCCGCTCATCCCCTCCCACCTCGTCTTCCCCCACCCCCTCCCCCTTCCCCTCGCCCTGCCTCTCCCCCTGCCCCACGCCCAGCACGCTCATGGCACCCAGGCGAATGTCGAAGCGCCGGTCACCGGGGCGCACGAGGGGGTCGAGCTCAGCGAAGAAGAGGCGCAGGCAAAGCACGTCCAGCAGATTCACCGGATCTAGACGCACTGCAAACCCCACCGACCCCATGCACGTCTCCCACTCCCCACTGCTGCTGTTGGCCCAGCACACCAGCCCTCCTCCTCTCCTGGCCCCCCACTCCAGCTGCTCCCCCCCACTTTCCTCTCCGGCCTCGCCTGCCCTCTCCTCCACTGCTCCCTCCCACGCTGACTGGAACACTGCAGAAGGAATAAAGTCCGGTGCCACGTCAGCACCAGCGATGCGTCGGGAGGTGGTTACCACGTTGAACGGATGCCCACGCGTAACCCAATTGCTGCTATCCGTCAGTGTTGCATTCGACCCAACGCTGCTGCTGCTGCTGCTGCTGCTGCTGCTGCTGGCACCACTACCAGCATCCGAGTTTAGAGCCACGGTACGAGGCACGGCGCCCCATGCGGGAGCTAAGTCGCGCCCCCACACCCTGTATGCGCTGTCCTCCTCCGCCCATCCCCCCTCCCTCATTCCGCCCTCCTGCTCCTTCCCCGCCCCCTCCTCCGGCAACCCCCTCTCCTCCACTGCGAATGCACCTGCCTGCCCCACCTTCCCCCTTCCTTCCAACCCTCCCCCATTTGCTGCTTCCGCCTCTTCACCTTCCAGTTCCGCCACCCTCCCCACTGTCCCTCCAACTGCTCTCTCCCACCTCTCCCCTCCCATCCTGTCTTCCTGCACCAAAGGGACCCCGTCCCCTGCCCCGCCCCCTGCCATCCGTGTCGCGCCCAGGTTGTGGCGCAGCAGCGGCACCACCACCACGTCGCGCCCTGTCACCGCACCATCGTACGCGAGGGGGTGCACGGGCAGCAGCTCCAGCGAGTTCACCTGGGGGGGGGCCGCCACCACGCCCAGCAGCGGCAGGAAGCACACGGAGATGCGCCCCTGGCGGGCAAACGCCACAAACTCGGAGTAGAAGGCGGAGAGCGGGTACTGCTGCTCTGAGACGGCCATCACCACCGTCCTGAGAATGAGCCCGTTCACGGCCATGTGGAAGGCGGGCGGGCGGAGGGCGCCATCGTAGTTGCGGTAGGCCACGCCCACGCGCACCAGGTAGCGCGCGTCACGGGGGAGAGGGACGGTGTAGCAGCCGCCGTTGCTGTTCCCGCCGGGGAAGGCGCGCAGGGTGGCCTCCACGGGCGACGCGAGGCGGGGGGAGGAGAGAGGAGGGGAGGGGGGGAGGCGGAAGGGCTGCCCCGCGTCGTAAAAGGAGTCTGCCCGCCACTGGCGGCCGTTGATAGTCTGCGCCTCGCTGCTGCCACAGTTGATTCGCACCGCGCCTGCTTGGGGGCGAGGGACGGAGAGATGAGAGGGAGAGAAGACGGGGGAAGATAGGGAGGAGGGAGTGCGAAGGGGAGCAGAGGGAGCGGAGGAGGCGAGGAGGGTGAGGAAGGGCAGAGGCAGGCAGGGCGGGAGGAGAGACAGAGGCGAGGAAGGCGAGGCGAGGGAGGGAGTAACGGTGGATGCAAATCGCTCTCTGTTAGAGAGGCGCAGCGAGGGCAAGCAGTGGATGGGGAGACTCGCGTGAGGCGAGGGACAGCACAGACGTTGCATGCGACACGCAAAAAGACAAGGAGCGGTCGCACACCTGAGACGGTCGCACACCTGAGACGGTCGCACACCTGAGACGGTCGCACACCTGAAAGGGGCTCCGGAGGTTTGAAACGAAAAGCGGCGGACGAGGTGAGTTGCGCGGCAGCGACCAACAGCAGGGCGACAGCTGGCGCGAACGCGAGGTTCCGGACGTCGTCAGACATTCGCTCACAGCACAGAAAGAAACTCGGCGACGCTGCGAAGAGAAGGTGCTGCTATCTCGTCATCAGCAAAGTTGGTCTCACAAGAACTGCTTTGAGGGGAGAGGGGAGACGGACCAAGTGGTTTGGGTTCAGGTGGCAGACGAGGGCGTGGATAGGGACGGGTGGAGCAGGAAGTTGGGCACACAGCAGCACGTACTGCCTGCCGTGCTGCTGCTGCATGCGGTATGGGTTGGGACTAGCATGGCCTGGGTGGCTGAGGATGGGGGATGGTGAGAAGAAACAAGAGTTGGGGAGAAGGAAAGGGGGATAGGGGGAAGGGAAAAGGGGGTGGGGGATGGGCCGGAAAGGGAGACCTTATGTGCCTACCTCTATTTTCTGCACACCACCCTTCCCTCAGCACCGTCCATTTCCCCTCTTCTCCCCACCGTTTCCGTCCCCCCGTGTTGTGTCCCTCCTTTTCCCGTCTTTTTCCATTCCGTCCCAACCCTTCCCGTCCCTCCACGTCCTCCCCGTCCCTTCCCGCCCCTTCCCGCCCCTTCCTGCCCCTTCCCGCCCCTTCCTGCGCCTTCCCGTCATTTCCCGTCCCTTCCCGTCCCTGCCCGTCCCTGCCCGTCCCTTCCCGTCCCTGCCCGTCCCTTCCCGTCGCTTCCCGTCCCTTCCTGCCCCTTCCCATCCGTTTCCGTCCGTTCCTGTACGTTCCCGTCACTTTCTGTCCCTTACGGTCCCTTCCCATCCCTTCTCGTCCCCATCCCAAAATGTGTGAGGTCGGGGTGGGATGTTTTTTGGGGCTTGCGAGAGAGTAACTATCATGAACTTACCTGCAGGTGGCTTTTCAGGGTTCGCGGCTCGGGAATCAGTGGTTTGCAGCATTATCGAAATTTCGACGCCACTCTCGCGATCGATTATATTGGTCAACCACTTTCGACTTCAACTACGAAACTTCCTTAAAACCATTCGCGCGATTTCTATTGGGCGTTCGATTCGAAGTTACTGCTCTGTAAGATTAGGTTTTCGACCAACATCTTCTAAGAAGCAGCGGGTAGCGAATGGCTGCGTTCTGTAGGCATGCCAGAGGGGGGGGAGGCGGTAAATAGGAACCTTCCCCCACCTTCGTTTTTTGGTTCGAAAGGGCGGTCAGCCCGGAAAATGGTTCCGAGCCTCCCATTTACCCTCCGAACCTAAACGAAGGTAAATGGCAACAGAACAGCCATTTACCCTGGAGGATATGAGGTCGTAGGAAGCCGCCCATTTCCCCTCCCCACCTTCCTGCGCTGGCAGATTTTGCCTCCTTCTCCCCGCCCTACGAAAGCTGCTTTTTCGGGGTGGTGCGATGGAGGTGGGGGGGAGGCGCTGGGATAGGGAACACCACGTTGTTACCTTATAAATCAAATAACCCTATCCTCGAATATCCCAAACAGGGTCGCAGCAACACTAGCAGGTAAAAAAAACATCAAGTTTTGTGTCTTGCAGGTGGGTGTGCTCGGGGTCGAATTTCTTCCATCTGATACCCTTCTCTCAACTTCAACCCTCGTTCTGATTTGGCGAAGCTCTATCTACCCATGAAGTGTGCGTGCGAAATTGTTCTTGTCTTTTCGTCATTTACCTTAAGAACCTTCCACCCAAGAATCCGAAATTTCCCACTTTCGATTGTAGCAGGTGGGGTTTGATATCGAAGGGGAAACTGCTTAGGAACCCTCGTCTTTTACCTTCGCCCCCCCTCCTCCCTCCCTCGGCGTATGCCTACAGAACGCAGCCCATGTTTGGCGCAAAGCCAGAACAATATGACCCGCACAAGAGCAACTCCGTTCCAGTGCACACTGGTTTTTCTGTTGTGGAAATATTGTGTTGTTATGTCCCTTTATATTGTAATCATCTTCAATTGTTTAGACATCCATTGTTGTAGTCCTATAGTATTTTGATTTCCACGTGTATGTAAAGCATTGAACTCTCTGTTCTTGTCATTTGTGATCGGTGGGACGTTAGATTCACTCAATTATTATGTATTTTACTGATAACCAATCGCGAGTTCAAAACATAGACGTCGCATGATGTCGTTTCAGCGCTGTGTGAATTTATTTTTTGCAAGGTTTCTTCACACCACTGAGTCATTAATGATACAAGGAAGCTATCAACTCAATTTGGTGTCATTTGCACAACACGGAAATGAGTGACGATTTTATGAACATACAATGAGTTGAAACTGTCGTGAGTAGAGACATGGATTCGCATGATGTCGTGTCAACGCTGCGTTGTTATTTTTGCAAGGCTTCTTCACACTACTAAGTCATTGATGATACAATGTAGCTATAAACTCAATTTGGTTCCATTCGCATAGCACGGGAACGAGTGACGATGTTTTGAACGTCGAATGAGGTGAAACTGGCGCGAGCACAGACGTGGATTCGCATGATGCCGTTTCAACACCATAGCGGCTTGCCAACGCTGCAGCAGATGTTAGAATCTAGCAGCAGGAATGAAATGAACTATGAAATAGTTTGGTACAAATATGAAACCATAAAAGGGGCTGTACCCCATATTGGCTACCCCACTACAGCCTAAACATATATAGCAGATATAACATTTGACACACCCCCATAGGCAAAGTGGGGGAGAGCAAGGGGTCACAAGACCAGTCAAGAGAAGCAAAGCAAGCTCAGGGTGGATCACAACGTCACCACACACACTGAGCACAAGCAAAGGGCCACAAGACCAGTTCAAATGCAGGGGTATATATGCAACAACAACAGCACAGTGATCACTACCTAGCAGAACAAGCATGCAGGTATATATATAGATCACAGTACAAGCAAAGTCTACAGCAAGTGAGGAAAAGTGGGCACAAGGCCTAACAAAGTGCAGAAACGCTGATGATCACCAGACGGAAGTGCATTGGTGAATATATCAGCAGTGTTGGCCCGAGTGGCCACGTGAGCAAGACGAAGCTGACCATGCTGCTGCAAATCTCGAGCCAGGAAGTAACGCAGAGCGATGTGCTTCGTTCTGTGCTCCTGTCTGTGCTCCTCACACAAGGCAATGGCGGACTTGTTGTGGACGTACAGCACTGGAGGAGAACGAGGCCGCTCTCCCAGGTCGGTCAGCATGTAGGTGAGCCAGCGTAACTCCTGTGTAGCCATGGCTGTGGCGTAGATCTCAGCCTCACAACTGGAGCTGAGAACTGAAGACGAGCGTGTAGAACGCCAAGAAACTGAACCAGAGCCAAGGCTGAAGGGTTAACCCTGTGACGATCGCTGCGTAACCTGATCGTCAACCCAAGAAGCGTCTGAGTGCCCAGTGAGGACTACGTCGCTCCGTCCTCCAAGCACGAGCCCCAAGCCCGATGTACTGCACAAGTAGCGTAGTACCCTCTTAGCAGCATCCATGTGCACCTTTCGGTGCCGACCAGGAGCCACGTAGCGAGCCAGAAGGCTAAGAGGGTACGCAAGGTCAGGACGAGTGCAGGTCATCAGGTACACGAGGCAGCCAACTAGCTCTGGGTAAGGACCACTCGGCTCTACGGACTCGTCCGAAGGTGGAGCTGAGAGCGAGTGACCTGTAGCCAGAGGAGTGGCCTGTGCCGAGGACCAGGTGAAGCCGAAGCGCTGAAGGACCTGCTGCACCATGTGTGACTGAGTCAGTGTGATGGTGCGGCGTGCTCTGTCCCGGGTGATCCGCAAGCCAAGATAGCTTGTCAGCTCACCCAGGTCTGTGCACGTGTATCTCATATGCAGCTCTGACTTCACCAGGGCGAGAGCCTCAGTGTCAGCAGTGGCAAAGACCAAGTCGTCGACGTACACGAGGATGTAGAACGGCGGCAGTGAAGTGTCGGTGCGTAGAAACAGCGACGGGTCAGCAGTCGACGGAGCAAACCCAAGAGCCGCAAGTGTCGTCCTCAGTGTGTCGTGCCACTCACGTGGCGCCTGGCGAAGACCGTAGACCGACCGCCGGTGGCTCCACTGGGTACCAGGAGGGAACGACCCAGTGAAGCCAGGAGGGCGGCGCAGCCAGATCTCCTCGTGCAGGGTGCCCTGTAAGAAAGCTGTGCTGAAGTCAAGAGAGTGAAGCTCGTAGTCACGCTGAGCGGCAACGTGCAGCAGTACCTGAAGAGTGGTCATCTTCGGGGTGGGGAAGAAGGTCTGGAAGAAGTCAACTCCCTCTCGCTGACTGAAACCTCGAGCAACGTAACGAGCCTTGAAGACAGGCGGAGAACCTGGCGGCCGCTTCACCCTGAAAATCCACATGCCACTGACGATGTTCGCCCCAGGAGGGGGAACCTCGTCGACGTAAGTGCCTGTGGACTTCCAGGATGCCATCTCTGCGTCCATGGCTGTCTGCCACTAAGAGGAGTACTCACCCGCGATCGCCTCAGCATAAGATCGCGGGGTCGGGATGTCTGGAGCATCCGGGTCTCCCACAGGGGCAAGCAGCATGGACATGAGATGAGGCGCAGCGGCTGCAAGACACTCAAGGTCCTCGTGCCTGTCCTCAAGGACGTCCGTGCCAAGAGCACACTCACCCCCGACGGACGGAGGACAGGCAGACTCAGACTCAGCAACAAGACTAGCGGCGTAGTCTAGACGACAGGCAGCAGCAAAGTCAACAAGCTCAGCGACTAAGGCAGACGCAGCAGCAGACTCAAACGACGGGTCAGTGACAACTGTGGCTAGCAGACGCGTGACAGCAGGGTGAGCAGCACGGGTGCGGTCAGACCCAGGCTCAGGAACGGTAGGCAGAGAAGACGCAGGAGGGGACGGCAGGGGAACACGCTGCGGTCTACCAGCGTTGCATCCGCATGTGTTTGTATGCGCATGTGCGTGCACCTACTTCGCATGTGTTTGTAGATAGTAGCGCACGACGTGCACTGTCGCGCACATTGCGCATGTGCCAAGTCGGCCACATGCCGACGGTTGCGCCTCACGAGCCACGTCGACCACGTGCTGCCACGTTCGTCGACGTCGCCACAGCAACCTCAACGATGCCCCCGCAGGTCGACGAACACCTTCGTCGACCACCAGAAGTAGTCGGTGCCCCCCTGGTCGACGAACACCTTCGTCGGCCACTGCCGACTATTACAATCCTAAAAAGGACTTAGCCAGGGATCGGCTCAAGGTTGATCGCATGTAGTGTTGCAGCGGAAGTGTTGATCCAGGTCTGAGTGAATGTAGTTGAGTGGGATGATTATAGCAGCGAGCTGACCTTCTGCAGCGAACTGCAGCGAGCTGACCTTCGCGAGACTGAGCATCCTCGTCGTCGAAAGTTAGCTCGGCGTAGGCGTCGACGGAGACTGGCGTCTTCGGGATCCGCCCGATCTGCTCCTCGTCAATGAAGCGCCTGCGCAGCTTGTCGACGTAGGCCTGCTGGTAAAGCCACAGCTTCTGCGCAGGTCGGTCGCTCACGATCTCAAGACCGAGATACTTCTCGACTGTCGGATCTTCAATTTCTCTCCGGACTGCCGCTGCGCGTGCGCCAGCCAAAGGCGGAAGGCCTCGTAGGCTCTGCTGCGGACCTCTCAATTTACAACCGATACGTAGCGGGTTCCTGCGTCGACGAAGGTGAGCGTGTACTGCTCGTCGTTGGTTCCGCAGTAACCTACGACGAGGAAGTCGCTATACACCTTTTTCAGTTTGGCGTAGCGGTAGGTTCCAGGCTCTAGCATGGAGAACGGTTGATGACTAT